CGGAGGCGTCCTCCTCGCCAGCCCTCCATGCCGGGGCTGTCCCCAGCTGTGGAGGAGAAACCACAGTGCACACAAGAAGTGAAGAGCGAGTTTTACTTCAGTAACTGAGAGAAGAAGCTGTACAAAGGTTTTTCTCCCCCCCAAAGCCTCCTGGGGCAAGGGTGGATTTTTTTCCTTTTTTTTTTTTTTTATTTTTTCTTTTTTTTTTTTTTTTTTTTTTTTTTTCTCGATATACCTAAAAGAGCAGAATAAAAAGTTTGACACATTCGCAAAGTCAGTGCTGAAACCAGCTGGGTCCTGGGTGGCCGAGAACAGTGTGTCTGTGCTAGCCCCCTGCCCGCCGCCCCTCCACTGTCCCCAGACCTCTCCCCACACACCCCAGGCACTCCTGTGGCCATGCTCCACCAGCAGCACCTTGTTCTAGCCAAGCATCCTCCAGCCCCAGGGGTGCTGTGGGCTGCCCCAGCCTGACCCTTGCCTTGGCAAGGAGGGAGCCCACAGCCAAGGGAGGGGCTGCACCACTGCTGCTGCAGCACGAGGACCACACACTTCTGCAGACCAGGCTTTGCTGGCAGCCTCTGAGGCCCCAGCCATGCATCGGAGGAGCATCATGACAAGCAAAGCTGACTTGTGGGGACCCTCAAGACAACCCTGGCTTCAGAGGTCACCTCCTCAATGGGAGGGCTTGCACTGCTGCCCAGTGTGCCCCAGGTACGATGCTCACACCAAGGCGGTGCAAATGGGGCTGGTCCAGCTGCCGGGGGTGAGTGGGTCATGAAGCACGGCTGCATCAGCCTCCCATGCAGCCACAAGTGCAACAATGGGTGCTGCCATCCCAAGGCTGCCTGCATCTGCAGGGTTGTCTCCAAAGGGTTGCTGGTGCCAAAGCAAGGCTGGGGAGCAGGCAGCAGCACACACAGGAACCCATGCTCACCTTGTTGCAGGGTGGGGAGCTGGTTCTCCCCCTGAGTCCAAGTAAAAACCTCTTGCCCCCCAGAATGCAGTGCCTACAGGACATGGCTGGGTTTGTGGCTTTGTTATTTTTTTTTTTAAATAGATCCCAAAAAGCATCAAAAGTAGCCCAAAAAAACCCCCTCCCTGGTGGTCAGCTCAGTCTGGTACTAAAAAATGCAAAACCGTATCACAAAAACCATTCAAAAGTTGTAAGAAAGCGGGGAGGGTGCAGAGGTGGCAGGGAGGGGGCCAGGTGCCATTGTCCTGGTGCCCCTGGCCACCAGCCCCAGGAGAGAGGACAGGCCACAGCTGGCCCCCTCCTGTCTGCCCCCCATGGCACAACGGAGCTGGAGGAGAAGCGGCCGCTGGCTTCGTTTTGCTGCGTTTTGGACTTTTTTTTTTTTAAACCACTGAAGAATTGAGCCCAGTGGGTGGGTTTCAGTTGGTCCCTGTCACCAGCATGAGGTCCTGCAACCACGCACAGGACAAGGAGGGGCAGGAACGAGTCTGATGGGGCTGACAGTGTGGGCAGCTCCCGCGAGCAAGGACCGGGGACCGTCCTGCTCTGCCACCACCTCCAGCGGAGGGCCCCCCTGGGTCGGCGCCTG